TCTGTTTTGTCCTTTTTCTTTTTCTTATGTTTTTCACTGCCTAAAAGATGACTGTGTAATGAAAATAATAGGAGGATAAAAATGGATAATGAAAAGTGATCTTAACATATATACATGGTTGAGATACTTACAGTCTCAACTGTCAAACATAGGATGGCAAATCTCGAGAAGAAGACATTCTTGACTCCAAAGAAATCTATTCTCTTGAAGAGCATGAAAATTCCTCAATCAACAAACAACAACACATGAAATGAATCATGTTTGACTGGCAAAACTATGCTAACAATAAGCATCACCTTTGGCAGTAAGCGGTGTTTCGTAGTCGGATTCGGAGCTGGTCGATGAAACGTCCAGAAATGTATCTGCGCAATTCTTCGGTTGAATCAGATTACGACACTGAAACGCTAAATGCCCTGCATAGCCGCATTTGCGACATGCTCCACTCACTGGTACTCGCATTCGGGTCACACCAGACAGTTCTAAAATCATTTTTTCCGTTTGCATCCGTTCGTTCGGACATATTCTTCGCCCGATAAATAGCGAAGAATTCTTGAAGGTGAACTAAATCCATGAAGATGCTATTAAACTACGAGAGGTTTCTTAAGAAACTCAGAAGTGAAATCGCTTTTAAACATTCAAGATCGAGTTTTGTGATGCAGAAATCACTATGAAACTGTGATAATCTCAATTAGCAATATAGTGGTTGCGTTTGAAGTGATATGGAATGATTAAGAAATTAATCAGGAAATACCGATGAAAGGTGATTCTTCAAGTACAACAGCAGATGATGTGGCTGCTCCATAACTGGTGGTACCAACCGACTCCAGTTTATCGGAACCAAATTTTCTGATGAATGGCATCGGCTCGAAGTTAGCGTTAGCCATCTCGATGAGTGTTAGTCACGCTTTGATGAGCAAAACTAATTTTGTGCTCCCTGAAAATCCTTCATTCTCGAAATAACACGAGAAATCTTTTGAAAAACGAACTTGATTATCAGCGGATGGCGATAATAAAGCAATTTAATTTAGTCAGATAAATTGGCAGTTCAATTGATACACCTAATGTATGAGGATAATCCGTAAGATCTGTTCAAAAAGATGATATCATTATTTGATAGTGAGCTGGTCGTGCTTTGTCAAATCGCTCATTTGATTTCATTTGCATTGAAAAGTAAACTGAGGTATGAAGAACAAATAATCTAAGCCTACGACTAAAAACACCTCGAATTTCACAAAAACACTTATTAAACAGAGGATAATCCCGACGTTCACGCAAAATTTACAATATAAGTAACATGCTCACAGCGGTGTTTTGAGAGTCTTTAAACTGGTTCAAATTGTGTTAATCAGCATTTAAGTGGAGCAGCTTAGAAAACAGAAGATGTGGAACAATATTTAATTTGAAGAATACAATTGCAACTTAAGGCACTGACCATAAACAGAATGAAAGTATTTATTGAGCAGCCAATACGAGCAGCACATAAACAGCACACTACAGTAAATGAACATCGAAATACACTTGAACAATTTACACCAACATTATAAGGACATGAATGAATCAATAATGAAGTGTATATGAATACATCAAACCTGAACAATATTCACTGAATGACTAATAACGTTGAGATATATTTACAAATGAAAGGCAAAACTAATTCGGACAATTTGTTCAACAGTAACAAACAAAGTCATTATATCAACATGGAGATCATTATGTAACCGTTCGAAACGCGACTATTTCAGAAATTCGTATGCTCCAATTATCTCACTGACCACCAATAATGAATCTGTCGAGTTGTTTCGTCAAATCATCATTTTCCCTCCTCAACTGCTTCAACTGTTTCCTTAAATTAGACAAGAAAACTTGAAAACAACTGAAAACTCCAACAATGCCACCAATCAATTTCCAAACAAACAATTGCTTTCTCTTAAGCAATGAACTCGCTCAATTTCAACTGATTCAATCCTCGAAAATAAATGAATCGATCGCAATATAACTCAAAAAAAAAACAATCATAACTAATCCAATAAGACACAAACTTATATTGGATGCGATTCGCTCTGAGTTTATCGGCCAACAACGAACACTCCTCTTTCAATGTTGCGATTAACGCACGTTGATCCTCTAATAAGCCCTCAAAATCTGCAATAAATCCATCCAATTCATCAATATCATAATATCCTTATCCTTATTACTATCGTCAACAACAACAGCAATATTATCTGAGCCCAGTTCGAAACTTTGAGAAGTGTTCAACTGTTTTATAATTCTAGTAATTTTTTGATGAACATCAGACTGCAAACTGCAAAAAATTACGCTGAACTGCTTACAAGGTGATTGCTCAGCATGATCCGCACAACAGCTGCTATGATTTTTTGTGATAGCCGATGCACGTAGAGTGCTATTCTGATCTACCAAAACCGCGAGTCTAGCCGTCAGAATACTCATATCTCGTTTCCTCGCAGCACTCTCTTCAGATAATCGACGTGCATAATCTCCAATCAACGCATCCTTATCCACTTCAGATGCTGACAACACTGACAGACGAGCCTTGAACACAAGCATCAATTGAAACACATTTTGCTAACATTATCATCTATACCATCAGAAATTCTTCTACTTATCAATAATAATAGAAATCCTCATCCTCATTTTGCGAATGTGAGGCATTTCAAGTGAATGGACACCAAACGGCAAAATCCATTAATGATCACCTGAAGTGATGCATTTTCAGCGTTTAACTTCTCAGAATTCAGCTTTTCCTCAGCCAGTTTTTGTTGAAGTTTCGATATTTCACTGGTCATTAGCGAGTGCTCTCCCCGCAGAGACTCACTGATACGCTCAATGTGTACCTTAATAATGATCACTCATTGATTCATAATCTAACAGACTTTCCGATTCAACATCGCTTCTGCTACCAGTTTCAATTATTTCCAATTCAACNAGGATCACTCAAACGCTAGTATTTCCGAACAACCCACCAATTGATATGAACGTTTGGGAACTTCGCTTTACTTTTATCTGTCCAGGTCAGGAGATGATGAAAATATACATCTCTTCGCGAACATGCGATTACAACAAGTAGCCCAGAACCGAATCAGCCAATGCTCCATTGGAAGCATCAACTAAATTTACACGAAGGTTCCACCGCAGTAACTACGGTCGTGAGTTTCATCAATACAGATAACTCTGTGACCTTAAATCAGGCAGGCTTTTACCTGTTTTGAGGCACACGCATCTTTCGCAAAATCTAATTCGCAAGTTTTAGAATGCAATTCCCGTTTGAGATTATCCAACTCAAAGCGATTTCTGGCCAATTCATCACGCATCTTTTCGAATGCTTCAAAACCATCGCCCAACTGCTCACTGAGTGGTTTTGCTGACACCACCACCTTTGCGTTCGTCGCACTCAATTCATTTTCCAGTTCCTCATTACGTGACTGAAAACATTTCAAACCAATAATGCCATCTGATCATGACAATACAATCTCCTCACCTTATTATACTTCATTAATACTGCCTTAAACTATACTACTACTACTCGTATACATCTAACTGCTATACAATCAGAATGCATCGTATTGTCAAAAGCTATCTTATCGCAAAACTGAACCATTCTCTGAATTAGGTGATGACTATCTCTGAAAACCAATACGCTAAACAATTGCGATGAAGAATCTCCTTAAATCAGTTGCAATTCATTGTAGCTAAACAACAACGACCATATCAACGACTGGAACAATAACATTAATAACAATAATCAAAACGAACTCTAAGTTGCTCAGCACTATCCACAGCACTTCGACAAATCTCTTTCAGTTTAATTATCTCATCACTAATCTGTTGTTCGCTACAATTCCGCTGTTGATTACTATCATTTGAGATACCAATTTCATTATTGGCATTTATTTGACCACGTAATGATGAAATTTCCGACTTGCACAAGTCCAGTTCAGACAAGAGGATCGATAACATTTCATCTTGTTTTTCCAGTAATGAGAATAACTCATTTGCATCCGGTAACACTGCTTCTCCTCAAATATAATATATTCTTCAATATTCGCTAATTTCAAAAATTCATCTCGATTACCACAAATAACATCACGACCACAACATCACCACTGACACATACAGACACAAATATGCACATGCGGGTATACTGTAAGACGGGAATACTGTAAGGCGGCTATTGACATAACAACTTCAATTCATTGTGAGATATTCCATTCGGATTCCTCGTCCAGAAGAACAATGAAAATCGCTTGCTTCAACGAATTCTATATCTCCCCAATCCCACTGTCCGAAATTCAAGCACGAATGGATAACAACTGCACGATTTTGAACAATTTCTCTTACTCATATCCTCCTCATCGCGACTGTTCCATCAATGCACAACTTATGAGAGTATCTCAAACAAAATTCATTCATGTCCATTATATAATGACAATTAATCACAAAACCACAAATCACCAACAATACCCAAGCAAACAGTCATCAAATATCAATTGTGAACTACATCGATAAAACAACCTTGATCTGTTTTTATTGCCATTCTATGATCACTTGCAAATGTGCTAGAGGAACAGAGAGCTTTCGCTGNATCAGTTATTTATCGTTAGACATCTAGGCATACTTCCCATTGCGAAACTCTATCAGCATTTTTACATTGGCAAAGCAAGCAAATCGCAAACACATTTGTTTACACTACATTTCATTCATAATAATTGCAAACATTCATAGAATGCGAAAAGTTGAAAGACATTGAAAGGTTTTTCGATTGAAAATGACACGACTATTGCTTGACTATGCGTAATCATGAGGTTTTCACTCGTATGTTACGACCATATCAAATAACCTTCAACTGCTCCTGTCTGGTTTGAGAATAGAAGCAAGCTTTCAAGAGAACGGACTAATAAAATCGCACACGATCCGTCTGAGTCGAACAAGTTCAAGAACGTGGATCCCAGCTGTATACTAGAATCCAGACTCGATCGAATGCGCAATCACTGCCTGAACTAATCACCCATCTAATGGGTAACGATACTTGGGCCAAATGTAAACCTAAGCTTAAGAAAAGCTTGAATGCGATCAACAAATACAATCAAATTCAAATAATGGATAATTGCCGTTGAAGTGAACACAGTCTTTTCATAACAACCAATTTGAGATAATATCCTATTGTAATAAGTAATAAACACATGGACACTTGAAACGACCATTGGAGATAAATTAAGAGAACAACCGAAACATTCCACTAACCGATTAAGAAATTTATCCATTACTTATGAGGAACACAAAAAGGAAATTCGAATACATATGAATGCAATATGTTTGTAATATATATTATCGCGCATCACATAATGCTGAACAAATATCATAAACGACCGACGATTAATTTGCGATATTATTCTAAAGAATATTCAAACGTGACGAAGAAATATTCAAAAAAAGCAAATAGAATCTGAATAATTAGTTAAGAAGGAATGAAAAGATCAAATAAATACTCAAATTTTTGAACTGAAAATAAATCAACTCGTGAACAGAGTATATGAACGACGATATATTTCAATATCTAAGAAAGAAAAAGAATTTGCGACGGAAGAAAATGTGAAATGAAAACTCATTACATAATCACATAGATGAACATGTATGCATAGCCATCACAATATATGAGCAGCAAACAGTTCACAGAATACAAGTTCATTGCCGATGTAGGCTTGGCTCTCAACGATCCCCAGAATTTCGCCCGATTCAATCCAAACCCCGAAACTGTCTCAAATTCATCTAGTCTAAACTGAAACCTCAACTGCTTTACTCAGCTGACAGTTCATCTCCATGCTCAATTCCATCTGAATCCCTAGAATCTAATTTATTTCCGAGATCCTCAAAATTTACCCATATCCAGGCCAACGCCATCACATCATCAAAATTGGATTCATGCAAACGAGCTCATAGAGTAGACAAGCTATCATTATTATCACAATAACGCATCAATTACATACCACATAACTTATACCAAAAGATATTCTCATAACAGATCTATGACGGTTCTTGTGTCTGCATTATCATACAGTTCAAGAAACGAACTTAATAATATCAATATGTCAATGACGACTGTTCCAATCCCGTATAATACATCGCAGCTGTAATAATTATCAAAAGAAATGAATGAAGAAAGGAACAGCAACCATCGCCATATTCTAATATAAGCTATCAGTAGGATTAAGTTCATCACGAGTCATAACCACAGCAGTCATAAAACAATAGAAAATTGCAAGAAAACGACATGATTTTGCTGATTCTCTAGTTTACGCTTGATCATTGAATATCTCCAAAAAATAATAACATGATCTAAAAACCAACTCAGACTCAGAAACTATTCATAGCATTGGAACAGCAGTAAGTCAGAAAAAGTTCAATGTGTTGAGCTGAATTCATACGTTGTTCGTGTTTAGCCATGAAATATACGTGTACGAATGAGAAATATCCTTATTGATAATTATGCAAAACTATCAAAATACAACACACTGCGGAGCATAAAATTAAAACAGATTGATTTTGATTTACTGAAACAGTCGTCGAGTTGATTGATAATACTTACACGTACTATCGACAGCTTCCAAATATTTGAATTAAACGAATGAAATAAAATAGATTAACATACGATTGTCTCATAATTAAACTCATAATATAATAAAATTATAGCAACCGAATCAATAATATTAACAACAACTGTGGAAATAACACATAATATAACAACTATTATCATAATTATTCATACAAATCAACCAACAAGCACATTGTGCTAAGGAATGCGACAGAAATCTCGAAAAGGGATAAACGATAGCGGATCAGAGTTGGCTGGGGGGAGGAGTAGAACGGGGAAAGAGCAAAATGAACGTCACTATGACAAATATCATGGAACAAATAGGCTTGGTGGATAACAATTTAGTTGTAAATCGACTGAATAATGCAAGACTTCCGATCGATCATAATAAATGAGCCGACAAATCACATGAAAGATATACATGTACATACACATGTATACATACATATCATGATCAATGAGTACTGATAACATATCATAACAAATACGATTGATAACAAATCTCATCAATGAAGCATTAATGATAACGAAATAAATCACTTTCAACGAATCATTCAATTTGATGATGGTTTGTGTGATTTCAACTGAAGCAGTATCGAACGAAGACGTGACACATCGGTTGTATTCTTCGAATTCTTTGCGTTGAATTCGCACAATTTCGCGATACGGTCCCATTCCGCACCCTCTTCACATGCGTCACGATCTGCTAAAATCTCCGATTCTGCTTTCCTTAAAAAATTCACTCTTTCACCTTGCAGTTCTCAACCCATCATAAACCATCAACACTGAACACTCAATCGAAATTTCCGTGCAATCCAAAATAATCATCGCATTTGAATAAAAATAACCAATAGTATGAGACATTCAGACGCGTTCTGGTATCGGTACAATTTATTCGTGAGCTGATGAAATCAGTAATTGATCGATTGTCTACAAGGCCACAAGGATGATAGAAAAGAAAAACAACAAATTTAACTTCTAATCACAATGAATACACAAACAGATTTATCGTATCGTTGTCTAAACAAATTCACGAACCTGTTCGCAATTTTCGTCTTGTTCAATTGCTCTTCTCGTTGCGCATACCATTCGTCCAATTCCTTTTTGGCCGCTGCACGCATTTCAATCTTTTTCTTCTCTTCGGCTTCGTCTAAAATCAATCATTCCCAACCATTTCATCAAGCTTTTACTAATTCACTCGCACAATTCTGTTGATAGCATTTCAGATGTGATCGCTAACAACACAAACTAAAAGAGCATTCAAAATTTCAACTTTACCTAAAGAAGCTTTACAAAAAATTTTTGAGGTAATCTATGCTCAATGGTCATAGAAGAACAACGCTAATCTCACCAAATATTTTGAAAAAAATTTATAAATTACATAAAATAAATGAAAGATAGTCACAATTCAAAAGAATGCAACCTTTCTTCTCCAGAAGAATCTTATGCTCTTCACGCCATTTTCTGATCTTTTCAGGCTCAATTTTCGGCATCGAGTTGATGGTCAACGGTGATGGGGTAGCGCTAGCGCTGGAACGTATTTGTGGCACAACTTGGGCACCTCCAGCCAGATTGTTCATCGCATCCAAAGCGCTCAAGTCAACACCTGAATCACCACCTCCGTTCAAATGCTCGAAATCGTGGAAATCGTCATGACCTGAAATTTGTGATTCCAATCGTATAGTAGCATGCAAATTTGATGTAAAAAATCGATTCATTCATCCACCGCTTAACCATGCATGAATTGCTTAATCGAGTGGAATGTTCCATTCGCTTTGAGAGTAAACAGAAACAGACATCACGTTAACATAGTAATAGTAAGGAAATAGTAAGGATATTTGCAAACGGCCAGAAAACGTCAATATTTCTATAGCATCAAAACCACACACACATCATCATCATCATCACAAACATGCACCTTATTACGAACAACACAAATAAACACAAACTAAAAATTGATCCACGATGACACGACAGAAATTAGAAAGATGCTGAATGTTGAGAATATTCTTTTTACATTTAAAACATGCCGATTGCACCAACGAAATTTGATTAATTGTAAGATTTGACAAGCTCGAAATTCATCGAATAATCTCATTCGTTCAAAAATATGCGCAAAGTCACCTTGAACATTTATCAGACTATCTCAGATACAAACAAGGATTGAGGTGGAGTAGAGGGATGGGGGAAGAATGGAAAGCGCAGATAGAGTTCAGTTCATGCCTTTNGAGACTCACAAAATCACATCGAAAAACGCTTGCATGTTTTTCATAGAAGGAAAAGAATTCTAGTGAAAACAGTTGAAGCTGCAACAAAAGCGCACTGAAATATTGCCATGCTCTAGCAGTGACTAGCCGAAAAAAATCATCAACTCGCGATGCGATGTGATTACATTTTGCGCGATGATCTGTAGCCGAAACACTGGTGAAGGCCGCCGCAGGCTGCGTGGATGTGAAAAATGGAGTCGGATCCCAGTTAGATGATCGATTAGCAGTGGTAGTGAAATGAGAAATACCGTTATTCATTGTGGCCGAGACACCGTTATCGATTGGTGGTGGTTCCACGAGCACAGTGTCGTCGGGTAACGATGGTGCTGCCGCGGTTGTTCTCGCATCTGCCGCAGTCATATTGGCCACATCCGGAACGGGTGCTCCATCGATATCGGCCAAAACGTTCTGCTCACGAGCCAAAAAGTCTGCCACTGGATCCGACATGTTCTGTTCGAGAGAATCGCCTCCTTAAATCACCACCAAACAATTACTGACGAACATATAAATGTGTTGCACACACGAAACAGTTCTTCGCACAAATAAAACACACAAGAAAAACAACGCAGTCTCTAATTAAAAAATGAGTTTAACAAATTTCGGATGCATCATAGACACGTCATCGCCTTTTTTCAGTCTATTTCAGTTCGAAAACTTCATCACCACCAATTTCTTTCGAATAAAGCAAACATTTGAACGCTCTCTGAGCAATTATAAATGAAATGAATTGAATCCTATCAAATTTAACGAATAATCTCACATCTAAATCTCAAGAAAATCTAAATGAAGAGATCCCGTTGAATCTATTCACTTATTTTGGAAAACAATTGAATTTTTAGAAACGTTCAATTATGTTCAGCGACAATCAATATAACAACATTACAGAGTGGCTATATGCCAATTTCTGAAACATGTGGATGGTTATGCTAAAAATCGCTTTGTGTTAACATCTCAATAGCCTCACGTTAAAATGTTCGTCGCCGCCATTTAACCTATAGTTTGACTCAGAAATGTACGTGGAGGAGACTATGGCCGGGAACCGAGTGCGGTTGATACATCTTTTGCACTTAATGCATCACATCGGCACTTCAAGAAGCAATTTCAGTTCACCTACAAAAGGCATGAAGTGATATCCATAGTTTATGAGTCATCGTGTGCTAGATTTAATTAGCAACGAGAAACTTCCATTGAAAATTCAATTCAAAGGACCAAATCAGCGATAATCGGTCAGTCTCGAGAGCAATCATGAGATCACGCCATGCATGCTTGACACGGTGCATATTAATTTGATTGTGAACACATTTAAGAGACATATCTTCAGAAAATTATGCACGCCTGAGCAACCGAGTGCATTGAATGGGTTGAAGGTTGATTAAGTTAAAGCAGGTTGAGGTTGAAGAAGGTTGAGTAGATAGGTCAAATCGCTCCACATTATTATGTCCTTCAGAATCTAGAGGTTTCGTTCTGGAATGATGCAAAGAAATTCAGACATTAATGGGTAAAGCTCACAATACAGCAGGCACGATGATGGCAACTACTACAGCTTTGAGTAAACAGCTAAATCTCATCAAAAAAGCGGAAGTGATCAACAATATATATGATATTCTGAAGGCTGAGATTCTGTGCAATCGAATGGAGCAAAGAAATTCATAGGTTATTGTGCAAACCTGACGGTAATATTACCTTGAAGACGGTAACCCCCCTAGCGCTAGAGTAACGTAAATATTTATCTACCGTGATCAGCAGCATATGGTCAAAGATTACGGTAGGCCAAATGATGGGAAAACCGTATTGCATCGTAAAAATAGCCATAAATCTTCAAGAAAGCGGAATCGATGGACAAAATACATGTTTTTCTGAATGTAGAGATTCAGAATAATCGAAAAATAGCTATATTTCACCGAGACGTGAGAATTTCTCGGCCAACTTTTCATTTATAAAAAGCAGAGATTCTGCTCAATCGAATGGTGCAAAAATATCAACAGGTTGCTCGGCAAATCTAAGAAGCCGGTAGATTTGAATGGATCAAGCCTATACATCTAAAGTAAAGAACAATATGCATTGATCTACAGTGATCAAATGCATATCAATGAGCACCT